TTTTATTTTGTAAATGGACTCTTTGTACTTTTATAAATAATTATTCATACACATAGATGCAGAAAGATATGCACATGTAATCCTGTACATTGTATATGAAGATAAGATGGATCACATTATGTAACTTTAAAGACTTTGTTTAGTCTTTGTGAACTGATGATATTTTATTTCATAGTGATATGAGTTACTTTATTATTTGTTGCAGGGAGTTCACACAGCTGCAGGGCCCACTATGACATACCCCTGACGTGTTTTTATTAATAGTAGCAATTTTATTACATCTCGTTATTCATCTTGATGTAAACAGATTGAACTGTGTTTATTTCTTCACAGATGGCAATTAAAATGATGCATTCAAGAGGACGACTGTCTTTAAGGGAAATGCAGAGAACTATAAGTCTGGCTAAATGAAAATCATGAGTTTGGAATATAAATATGCAATATACAGTGTGACTATTCTATGAAAATCACTCCAAAATACAAGTGTCATGATCTATCACACCAAGCCAAGGAAGATTTATGGACTAACATTTGTGTCAAGGAAATCTAGTGAGAACGGCCCTCCAGAGTTCTTCTTGGGCAGAAATGTGACCTTAGTGACTTGTAGTGTAATCTAGAAGGAAATTATATTAAGTTGATGGCACAACTTGCTGAGAAGTTTAGTCTACCACTTTAAAACATGCTGTGATCTGTGGGTGACAATCCCAGACCTTGGCAGTTTAATAAAGTTTATGATTTATTAATAGACTGATTTCTGATCAAAATAATAGCAACAGCACCCATACCTAGTCATATTATTGTATGTCAGAAAAAGGTGATAATTCAGTGTTAGCCACATGTGCCAATTATGTCCATACAGTACTATATTGTGTAGCTGACATGATGAACACACAAAGAGTTTTAAAGATATGTTTCATTATTTCTATTCAATTTAAAAGTACTGAGTAACTGTGTAATGAGATAAAAACAGTTAGACCAAATGGATTGATAAAGTGGAATTCATGTAATGTTACCTCGTGGAGAAAAAAGTATAAACATTGTGACACCAGTAATTGAAAATAGATTATCGCCAAATTTACCAATTTTCATTAATCTATTTGCTCCCCACTATGACAAGGCATCACATTTATTCTGCGATTATTGTATTCTGCGATAAATTTCAATCGTTCATTGAAATAGTCAAAAGTCGAAGGGATCCACAAAATGGCCATTCACATGCCCCTAAAGTAAAAAGTCTCACCCAATCTCAAAAAAGGGTATTCACATAGCCATGTGTCTTTGTCTTTGCACGCATATAGCATGCGAATAGCTTCACAGATTGATTCATAGTTGCACATCTGAGTTTACAAGGAATAACCCATCTAAGGTCAACAAACTCCTGCAAAATATCAGCTCATCTCATACAATTCCCAATAGGTTTTGTGATGTTAAGTGTTTGAGTCGCTGATAAAAATGTATCAAAAATTACTACAATGTAATAACAAATCCTTGTTAATTGCCTAGTCCCCTTTTGAATTTAGATGTTGAATTTCTATCTCTACTATAACCATGGCGACAGTCGAGCATAAACTCCAACTACTGAGATATGTCTATACATCCACTGCAATTGACAGATAGCTAAACTCGGAAAACAATGTGGTTAGGCAGTTTTTGAAAAGTATGTAAAATTCGGTCACTGTAAACATGTGTTACATTATGTAATACCTTTTTAAAAAGCAACCAATAGTTAATTCATCATATTAAAACGACATAAACACCAACTACTGAGATATGTCTATACATCCACTGCAATTGACAGATAGCTAAACTCGGAAAACAATGTGGTTAGGCAGTTTTTGAAAAGTATGTGAAATTCGGTCACTGTGAACACATTACGTTTTTAAAAAGCAACCAATAGTTAATTCATCATATTAAAATGACTACAGCATAACATGACATGCATACTACCGATAGGGTACAGTTTTTCCAGCATGACTCACCTAAGATGTTGTAAAGTATGTGTTTTTTAGATCCAAAAGTCTCTGTGCCCCCTGGATTTGAGAAAAGATCAATTTTAATTATTTTGAGGGAGACATTCTCTTCAGTTTGTAATGATACAGAGTTGTGTTTGACCGAGGTTGATATCAGCTAAAGTCACCCAGGCATGTCGGATATATGGTCCTTGAACTACATTCTCCAAAACGCAATAGCCGCCAGTCGGCCATTTTTAAATCTATCTGTAAAAAAAATTACGTGCATCCCCTCTCATTGTACACGTGTTAAATGTATGCAAACCAAATCCGCCCTTTTTACACTTATATGTGTTGGTTAGTACTCTTGGCGCAACAAAGGTATTTCTTAATCTTTAGAAATACTGGTAAATTGCAATGGCATTTGAATTGAGCCAGCTAATCTATGAGCACATGCGCAACGACTCCATTTGTAAACGTTCCAAATGTTATTCAATCGACAAATAAAAACCTGTCGTTTCAGTTTGTAAAGATGAACTTAAAGGGAACGCCTTAGTTGCGCGGAGAATATGAACCTGAATGGAAATAAAGACTACACTCCTTCCTTGGTGATGGGGTTGGGTGTATGTATAACCAGTGTACCAGTCACTGAATAAATGATGGTACAAGCGAAATAAGCCAGATGTACGACCCCCGTAATTACACGTGGTTCTCACTGGGGGTACAATTTCACTATGAATGAGAATATGCAAATTAGAATTCAAAAACAATTACCAAAAAAACAACTTGTAGTAACAATAGTTTTGCTTGATAATCAGCTTCATTTATTAGTTAAACTACAGTAAATATCGCAAAGAACGGCAAAGACTTAGTAGAAAATGTATCAAAAGGGTAAATGGCGTCACTCGGCATAATCGATCTAATCAGAGTCAGTAGTCGTGTCCGTGGTCAAAGTGGTCATGTTGGTCCAACATTATATGCCTTCCTAAGGTATAGAACCTGGAGAGAAAAAAACGTATACAGTATTAACAAACTAAGATCCACTGCCATTCTACGTCTAATCACAGTCACTCTACTAGGAGAGTGACTGTGGTCTAATGCACTGTGTGAATGAACAAATCGTTTAACCCTCGGGCATTTATTTTTTATTTATTAGTTGTCTGAAATTAATCCCATGCAAATACGTTGATACGTAATAATAATAACTTTATTGCACAACTGTACCATCGGTGGGTGCTGTATGGTAAGGATGCAGATCATAATAAATAAACACAAACAACAAAAGTTTCAAAAATTACGAACATAAAAATCTAAAGGGTATATATAAAACACGGATTCACATTTAGGTTTTATAATTGTGTTTTTTAAGTATTTTGCAAATGTAGTACTACTATTTAAAATGCAAGTGAATATTAAATTTCGGTTAGCTGTATTACACATTAAATTTTGTAATTTACAGTCTTCTAAGAGGGTATTTTTTTCTTGAGTGAAGAAGCAACAGTCAAGGATGAAATGCTCTTCATCTTCTACAGTACCTGTGTTGCATTTTTTACACAATCTGTTTGCTTCAATAAAAATAAAACATGTGTTCCATGTGCCGTGGAACACATATCGACTATCACCTTTAACTATACGGTCTGTCTTTATTGTACACGGAACGATGAAAGGTATGATGGATGGAATCATCTACGGCGAATTGAAAAGAGAAAAAACAGTGGTCCTTGTACTTTATTCTTTCCTACGGTGACGTGAAAAGGGTTGCTGGGCTCACAATTCCAAAGTTCGTAATTTAAAATTTACTCACATGCATCGCAATCGTTGTTGGAATCTTCACAGACCAGGTAGCTATTACACTTCAACTCATCATAAGAGTTACCTATCAGCGCTCTGAAAATACTTCCTGCTTTATGTTTGTCATAATTCAAATTCACGTTGAAAGTAATTTCGTATTCGTCCAGCCGAGGAGCTTTGAGATGAAATAAAACAGAGTCAGGCGTGTTAGTTGTGAGTTATAGTCTACACCGTGCCCCACGATGAGACATAGCAGTTTTTTTTTTTTAAATCTCTCACAGTCATTTTCATCCCTGTTTTCATCCGCCGTGATATTGAACACAGTTTCTATTTTTAGTATGAAGTTAATTCGCTTTAACTTGCAATTATTAGAATTCAGTACAGAAATGTACAGATACTACCTAACACAGTTCAATGATCTAGCACGTTTTTATAGTCAGTTCGTTTTCGCCTTCGCCTCATCAGTCTCGTTCACCCATTGGGCAAATGTTATGTGTTTTAGTATACTAGGTCAAATACTGATGTGTTGCAATTAAGCCGAATTTTGACAACTCGTCAGCAACTTCTAAGATCATCACGATGTCTGATTTATAATCCTAATTCATCGAAAATTCACAAAACGAATCATCCAAAAAACATTGATGTTATCAGCGTGAATGGAACTGTATTTGTCGCGTCAACGCAATTGTAAGGATTGAATATAATAGTTTGGACATAAAAGCAAAGGAATAAACGTTTTAAACGTTTTTTAAATAAATAAATAAAAAAATAAATAAATAAATACGAATTTGATATCATCAATGAAGGCATGGAATATTCCCAGACTTGCCGCGCATTCTGATGACATAGTTAGATCACTTAAACAAGCAAAAAGAAAGTCCAATAATAACACCTACCTTGACTTGGTTCTTGGGCACAGACATATCCAACAAGGCATACTAAGAGCAATACGCACGCAACCTTCATATTTTAGCTGTTGAAAAATCACAAACAAGCGAAATGTTATCCGAAACACATATTTTGTCTGAAAACTGAATTTATGGGGTAGTATAGTGGCTATATCGGTAATTGGCAGCTGTCTATATGTGTATGTTGGCGGTGGAAGAAGCAGAAGAAAATTAGCATGCCATTGTCACCTCATTGACACGTGTCATTGGGGCACTAGTAACCGTCGCCAAGTACATTCTAAAATTTCTGTAAAATGACTAATTTTTACTGGGTTTAAATTTCGCTGATATACCATTTCAGGCATATTCAGTGGGTTTTAAAATCACGGTTTTATCATTTAGATAATGTGTTCTATGCTAAATTTTACATATTCACTGAGTTTTAATTTAGCACATTTTCCATTCAGCGAAATAAGCAAAATTAAAACCCAGTGAATAATTAATTCTTTTACAGTACTAGTTATCACATATTGGAAGTCAGAAACTTAAATGACAATTTGTATACTAGTAAATTCTCCATTAAATGAGTAGCAATAAATGAATGGACCACTACTTAAAGTTGGGTACGCAACCTTATTGAAAGAAATAGTGATGAATATTTGGCCGGGCATGTTATGCATTCTGAGTTTTCATGTATCTAACATTCTCCCCAAGAAAAAACTTTGTGAAAAGATCAAAAATACCTTTGTAGGTTTTTTAAGGAGCAAAAAATGAAACGAGTTTTCTCGGAGTTTTCGCCCAGTATTTCAGTTCATCGTGCTGAACGCCCTGCTCTGCCCAATTCAATGTGTTCATATGATCACCTGACCGTTGTCTGGGGTACAATTTCGTGACGCTACTTATGACAGAAGTAGACTATCAGCAAAAGCATGTTACGTTTACTGCCACGACATCGTCGAAAAGACGAAATATTAAACATCCAGAATTTCTACTCACCTTTATATCGGCTCTACAGGTGTGGAATAACTTGCGTTGAGTGTGATTTGTCCATGTGCCGCGTTCGTCTTATATACTCTACATTTGCGTGAGAAGTCTCAACAGTGCGTGCGCGAGACTTTCGGTCGATCATTTCTCAATTACCCATAATACCCATTGGTCCATGGATTTAACTACTTAAGGACATTTCAATCCAATATGTAATAAATCATAAATCGATTTTATGAGCTTTAACAGAATCACTACAATAATAATGAAATTCATTTCGTGTGTGCGTTTGTACACGTGGACCAGGTTTGAGTTTTTAATTGAAGACAGTGACGTGTTCGTATACCATTGTAAAGAGTTGAAGAAAAAAAACATCGTTAATACTATTAGTATATACACGCGAAACATGCGATGGCGTTGTTGTCATGGGAACTAATAAATATGTGGGTCGAAATGACTAATGGCAAAGGCTTTCTGAGAATGTGATCGTCCGTAAACCATGATTTTATTTATTTGCAACTGTCTCGATAGTCAAAAAGCTCAACTATAAGAACATCTGAAATAATCAATGGATATTTGACAAGCAAAATGACTTTACAGTCCACTGATAAAATAAGTTGAAGGTGGGAATCGGTAAAATCAATGAAAAACCTGAAATCATTAACAATGATATGAAAAAGATAATTGTCTTAGATTAACTTGAAGATGGAAACGCCTAATTTAAAATCGACGTTCTTTCTGAGAACACGAAAAGGCATAAAAATTTCTTCTAAGCATATATCCTATTTAACTACAAAACACTATTACGTATTGAACATGTGTGCGAAATTCAAGTGTGGGACTAAAATGCTTTCACAATAATGTACATAATAGTGTGGAAGGGTATTTGAACTTGGTAAGCATAAATATTTGATAAATTTAATCTGTACCCGTTCAAGTTTGGCAATTAAGTCTGCGACATCGGATGGACGTTGGAGCAGTACTCCGGGGTCCTGTACACCGTGACTATGGTGAAATGAAGCGATTTTGGCATAATGATTCTAACATCATCCAAAATGTACGCTTAAGGTAGCGAGAAGGGAAATTTTCAATTGATAAAACGGTTACTTTAGACCTTGATACATCACCCCAGGTTTACAAAAGATCGAAATTGCGAAATAACGTTGCTCAAATTAGTGTTTTAAAACACTAGCAGAAAAGACTACAACTGCCGTTTCGTGGATATTTGCATAATGTTTATTTTTGAAAGGGTTTAAATGATAACATCTTATCTGTAATCTGTTGTTGACGATTCTGATATAACGGGTGATAAGCTTCCAGTTGCAAACAATGCGTGTTTATCTAACGTCCATTGTCAGCATTATTGTCAGTCGAGACTTCGTCGGAGAAACATGGTCATACTGTACTCATTTGGCCCAACCTTCCGCTTTTACATCGACCGCTTATCGCTTAATTTCCGACCACGCGGTCTTGTCCGACCGGAAACCGACCGCATTTTAATCGCGTTTTTTTTTTTCGCTCGCTCGCTCATTGAAAACATTGACCTCTCGCCCAAACACTGAAAACTGGCACATGGGTGGTCGAAATGGTGGTTTTGATAGTAAAGTGTGAACATACAACTAGTATTAACTAATATTAAATTCTGTACGACACTTCAAATCTAGAAGTTGTATGACACTTGTATCGTGAAAGCAACTGAACTGGGACCTCTTGTTACGTGTTTCGGGTGCTTGTTCTAGATTTTAATCGCGTTTTTTTTTTTCGCTCGCTCGCTCATTGAAAACATTGACCTCTCGCCCAAACACTGAAAACTGGCACATGGGTGGTCGAAATGGTGGTCTTGATAGTAAAGTGTGAACATACAACTAGTATTAACTATTATTAAATTCTGTACGACACTTCAAATCTAGAAGTTGTATGACACTTGTATCGTGAAAGCAATTGAACTGGGACCTCTTGTTACGTGTTTC